TGTTAGTTGGCCTGCGGCATCACGCATGCGTGCAATGTATGTCATGGAGCGTTTTTTATTGATCATTCTGGCCAGCAACCTGCTGCACCCGTCTCCTTCTGTGTAGAAAAAGGATTTAGTGAGCTGGAGGGCCCTAGTGTACGAATGCCGCAGGACCCATGCTAGTTCTTCATGGGCTGCTGTGAGTTCCCCAAGAAGTGTGTCGTCTAGTGTTCGTTTGTGGGCCTGTGTTAGGGTCCCTATCTTGGCAGTTAGTTCTCGGATCGTATGTTCTCGTGCCTTTTTCAGGGCAGAGGAGTGTGAGATAAGGATCCCTCTAATCACACACTTGTGGGCCTCCCATGTCAAGAGGGGGGATGTGTCCTGCGGTAAGTTCTCAGTGAAGTAATTCGTCAGGGCTTGTTGTACGTCTCGGGCCACCTGCGGGTTGGATAGAAGGCTTTCGTGGAGCCTCCATGACGTGGTTTTGGGTTTGCATAGTGGCGATGTGAGTTGAATCGTGAGTGGTGCGTGGTCTGACCACACTGTCCCCCCTATGGCTGAGTCACGCAATCTGGGTAGGTGGTAATATGGAAGGAAAAAGTAGTCAATGCATGTGTAACAGTCATTCGGGGTCGAATAGAAGGTGTAGTTCCTAGCCATCGGGTGTGTCGCCCTCCAGCAATCCGTAAGCCTGTACTGGTGGAGAAGTTTACGAATTTTGAGCAGTGTTTGGGGCATAGATGTTGGCAAAAGTATAGGTTTCGTCCAGGATTTTACCCCTAACAAATACATATCTGCCCGAATTATCCATCATGGTCGAGTCAGCTACGAAGGGTATGGATTTGTGTAGGAGTATTGCTGTCCCCTTAGATTTCCCGTCCGGGTTATTGCTGTAGAAGCCTTGGGTGTATATGTGGTTACAGAGTTTCGGAGCGGAGTCGGTTTTAAAGTGGGTTTCTTGGAGATAGACCACATGGGCTCTAGTTTTCTGGCAGAGGCGTAGTGCGTGTGACCTCTTTTCGGGGGAGTTTAAGCCCTTTGCGTTTAGGGATAGGGAGGTGAGTGGGGCTGGTGCGTATTTGGGTGCAAGTGTAGCCATATTGTCAAGTTCCCCGAGTGTCTGAGTCGCCCCAGTCTGTGGGGGCAGGTGAGGGCCTAGGTAGGTAGAGCCCGGTCTAGGGCAGGCAGGGTGGAGCTGGGTAGTGGGTATCCCCGTGCGGCGGGGCACGGAGGGGACCGCCCCTGTAATGGAGCAGAGGCACCGGCATCAGGGGGGTAGAAATCCACCGGCCCGGAGACCGGTACGACCCCCCCTATACAGAAGACACCGACCTCACGGGGAGTGGAAGGCGCCTTGTCAATCAGCCAACAGAGGTGGCTGTGGATCACAACAAACACTAACAATTGTAACTCAAACTTGTGATACACTTCTGTCGCGTCTCCGGGGCGAGTCTCCCAGGGTATGGTCGGGTTCCACCCGGAACTATGACCTCTTGGTGATACCTTTGTGTGTCTGCGGGAACTCACCCCCAGGTCCCGACATTGTCTAGTCTGAGGGGAAGGTATACGAGCCGACCCAGGGCTTAACCCACTTACTACAGCTTATATGTCTAGGATACTGATAGACCCCATCCCCACCCAGCCCCTTCCCCCATGTGCACCAGTGTGGCCCCGTGGTGCCGTTCCTCTCTCCCTGAAAGCTGTATGGAGGGACCGTGTCCTCCCCGAGGGCACCCCAATTAATGGACCCCTATTGGGTTCCCCCATCTGTGTGGTGGTGGGTGGTGTTGCTCTGGGGTCAGCCCATCTCTGGTCTGTGTGTGCGGGTGCTTACGCAATCTTATATACAAAGCTGTACCCCAGTGTAGCCTATTCTGGCACCTAGCCAGTGTTGCATACGAACCAATAGACATTTTGAACTTGCGCCAGTGCATAACCCGTGATATAAATAGTGGACAAGTTTAGCATGTGTAGGAGGCAATTCTAGCATAAACAGGCGTGTACCCCATATTATACAAAGATAAAGCAAGTAAAGATAATAATGGAGCAAGTCCAGAAGGAATCCTACAAATAAAGGGACCAGATAATAGCTCCTAAGAAAGACATACCATGTTATATACAATGTGATGGACAATTTGAGCATGTGCGGGCGTGTATGCAAGGTTACATACCGACCATGGAGCAATTTGAGCATACGCAGGCACGTATACAGCGGTCAATGCAATGCCGTAGGCAATTTAAGCATGTGTGGGAGCCTATGCCATGTTATATGCCCTGCAGTGGGCAGTTTTAGTATGTGCGGGCGCATATGCACTAACATCTATTTTATAGAATCTATACTTTTCTGTGGTCACCTCCAAAGGGGCCTCTGAAACGGGGGGCTGAGAGGGGTGCTCATCCTAAATGGGAATCAGATTTCATACTTAAAAAAAATAAATTATAATAATAGAGGTATTGTGGGAACATCCAGAACATGCATTTTTGTATATAATCTTAATTTGCAGATAATTTATGACTTAAAGACAAATTAAGGCGATTGAATTAAAAATGCAGTTATCTTTAAAGGTAAATATATATATTTTACCACAATATAAACAGCAAACCTCTAGTAGGGGCTGGACTGTAGGTGGCCAAGGACCCTTAAGTAGTGTTAAACTGCCTGAAGATGGTTTAATACTGAATGGAGGGACAGTGCCATGGGACTCCATGCACCATAACCAATTCAGTGAGATTAAATGGTTACAGTGCCTACAGTCGTTTTATTTTGTGAGGGACCAATCACACTTCTCTGGTTAAATGGGTGCATTACGGAGTCCAATACAAACCCCCAGAAATGTTTGGTATAATATTTAATGATTATATATGTCAATGCTGCAGGAGAAAGACTTTTCCTAGCTAGCAAAGACACTGGAATAGGAAAATAAAATGACTGATGAGGCACAGTTAGGAATATTTTGGCCAGAAAACCAGCTTTAAAAGGAAATGCAACACTTTTTCTACATATTGCCCAATTTGTCCTAATCCAGAGACCCTACACTTGGTGATGCTATTAATCTCCCATTAACCCCTCCTACTATGTTAGGTAGACCCATGCTTGGAGAACATTTCTTGGAACGTTCACCTTGGCTGGCCCTGGTGGGCTGCAGCTTGGACACTTTAAACTCAAAACCATTTGAGATGCACACATTGTTAAAGCTACTTTATCCTCTCACGTCTTGATCACGTTTCCTCTTCATGTCAATGACTTTAGCCAGATATGATCTTCTTATTACTTTGCTGGCAAAACATACCTTAGAGGAAATATGAGGCTTCAACAAGACCACCCAGTTTGAATAGATACTTTCATTTCTTAGATTTTAAAGTATTTGTCTTTTGTATTTTTTTTCCCTTTACTATGGTTACACCAAATAGTTTCACACTGCTTTCATTGTATTTTGTATAGTTCTTAGATTTTCAATACAAAGTGATAGCCCAAAACTATCATGAAATTCTTCTTGCACCAGGGGCGTTGTTCTTTACACCCCTGCCATGCTTTGTATTATGGAGCAGACAACACATCCTATATGTGTGGTGGAGCTGATCTGGGGATTTACCTTCTTACCCATAAATGCTCGCTGACCATGGCTTTATCAGACTTTATGTATATCCCAACTGAAACCATTTTGTAATCCTCGCATCTTCCTTGTCTAAGAAATGCAGAACGAATCAGGAATTGATATTTTAGGAAACGCACAGTAACAGAAGTATGACAGACATTTGATATTTTAGACCAAAATAGTAAAACTGGGGGAACAAAAAAGGATTTGGAATTGGGAAAATGTTCTGGTTTTCCTATTTTGATCTAAAACTTGGAATTCATAGGTTAAAGGGTCACTATAATCTGCATTAATAATGGTGCAAATAAGGACCCTGCACATGTCCTGCATGCAGGCCCCACAATATGGACTGAATTTTCTGCCCTTACTTTAGAAGGGCCAATTGTGGCTCACAAATACTAAACTGGCGAGTGTATCAACTGATGGCAATCGTGGTAAGTGATGAGTGGACCTGCTGCTAGGACATAAAACTACTTATCCCATGAAGCTTGGCTGAACAGAGGTTTGTGGGATAAGACCAGAATATGAGGCTCTTGATTGGTTTAGCCTCTTCCTGGTGAGGGGGTTCTGCCTAAAGATGCAGTTTCAGGATCAAGAAAGGAAAGTGTTTTTTTTTTTGTTTTCATAGTTTGTTTTTAATAAGGGGTTGTTTCACATGGTTTCCCTTTAACTCCCAGCACAGCCAACAACCCTTTAAATATTGTTTAAAAATAAACAACTCAAGTGCATGCAAGCAGACTCACGTGTTGGAATCCAAACATTGGAGGTGAACCGTCAAATATCATTAGGTATCTCTCCCCAAAGGCACACTCCAAGTACTGCAAGCACTACAGTCTGCTGTCTCCCCTGCCCCACACAGGTCCAACATAGGGCTGTGCTCATTGGCTGAAGTTTGTGCAGTTGATACTCTCAGCGAATTAAAGCAACTTGCATGGCCCTGCTATGCACAGTGGCCTAACCAGATGCAGGATGCAAGTTAAACAGTTTAAACACAGTCAAGCTGTAGTGGTTATGGTGTTTGAATAGTTTTCAATATATGATGAAGATTCTTTTTCAATAGTCATAAAAGAATCCTGTATAATACAGATATAAAAAGTACCATAGCGTAACTTGTAAATCTAAAAAGTATGATGTTATAGTAAAATGAAACACTTACAATATACAGAGCCATTTGGCCATGAACTATAGTTGCATATTTGTTAAACAAAAAAAAAAAACACGTTTCAACCATATAGGTCTTCCTCAGGGGCAATCAAAAACAGTACTGACCACAAATGCTCCTTTTTAAGCTTTTCTTTTGTATATCCATCTTTGACGCATGAGTTCTGATAGTCAGGCTGACATCCACACACATCCAGCAATGCCCGTTTTATTTGCAGTTTTAGTAGAATCATTAAATAAAATTCTTCCATTGGTATAGTTCAACAGATGGGTTTTTATTTAACAATGTGTTTGATACAGAAGAATGTCAGTTTGATCAGTGCACACGGTTTATAAACACCATTTCCACATTGAAAGACAAAACAAATAATACTTTGTTTTCTGCAAAATTCTATTAATGTGCTTATTTTTGGTCCGATGGGGACTTTGAAATCCTATTCACAGCTTGTTCGTAAAATATTTAGCCTACCGATGAGCAGTATGCATTCAGCTTTATAAATAGCATTTATGTCAAACTAAAGTCAAAGTAATACTGGAACACAAAGTACAGAAAAATATACATACTCAGTATATTATGAGGTTAAATATACATACACGTGTCTGTATAAACCTTAAAGCAACGAACATTAAAAAAATAAAAGCATATTGGCCAAAATCTCCATTTTATAAAGGCATGCTGTATTTTATGTATTTTATTGTTGGTTTGTTAGTTTTTGGATGCAGGCCATAATTTGGATATATTAAAGGGATAATGTAGTGCCAGGAATACAAAGCTGTATTCATGACACTCTCCCTCCCTCACCCTTTATTTACTAGCCTAATCCTAGCGCCGATGTCCCTCAGCGCTGGGTCAACGGTCGTGGCAAATGCTGCATGCGCATTAGACCTCCCTATAGGAAAGCATTGAAGCAATGCTTTCCTATGGGGGGAAAATCTGCTGCTGTAGGTCCTCATGCAGAGTGTGAGGATGTCCCGCATCAGTTACCAGACCGTTTCAAACCAGGAAGCGTCCCCAGTGGCTGGCTGGTAGCCACTGGAGGCAGACTTAGAGCTGCAATGTAAACATTGCGGTTTCTCTGAAACAGCAATGTTTTTTACATTGGTGGACTATGTGCAATAGAGACCCTGTACCCAGACCACTTTAATGAGCTGAAATGGTCTGGGTGCCTATAGTGTCCCTTTTAAAGGGGATAATTCACAAACTATCAAATAGCAAAGTCTAGCGCAAAATCGCCAAGCCATGACACAGTCAAGCTGTATAATGTTTCTAAATTGGCTCTTTTAACCTAAATGTGGCCTATTGAGCAGCCTTAT